GTTTCCCTGGAGCTGGGAGTTGTGGGTGCTAGAAACTGAACTCAGGCCCACTGCAAGAGCAATGTGTGCTCTTAACCACAGAGCCATCTCTCCAGCCCCTGTAGCAGACACTCCTACTGTTGTTTTTTACAGATAAAGAGAATTAAGCATAGGAGTAGCTTGCCTACTGCCTCACAAAAGGTTCTTTCCCCTTCCTCTCTAACCTGGATTTATTAGATAACCTTCATGTGAATGTTCCTAAACCAGCTTACCTTCTTTAAGGATTTTATCAGTTGTCATGGTAACCTATGTTTTGTAATAAATTTCACTAAAATGAACCAAAGAAATTTTGAATTTTCGTTTTATTTCCTCATTACCTCATTTTTCTTTTCTTCTAAGTAGGATGCTTCATTTCTAAACCAGATGTGATTTCCTTGCTGGAGCAAGGGAAAGAGCCCTGGAAGGTTGTGAGGAAAAGAAGACAAAATTCAGGTAAGTGGGGGTCTATGAGGCTTGGGGAACACACTCAACTAGCTGAAAAAGGGGCGTGAGGGCTGGAGAGATGGCTTAGAAGTTAAGAGCACTGGCTGCTCTTCCAGAGGACCTGAGTTCAATTTCCCAGCAACCATATGGTGGCCCACAGTCATCCCTGATAGGATCTGATGCCCTCTTCTGGTCTAGCCTGTGGACACACATGCAGGCAGAACACTGTATACATGATAAATAAATAAATGTTTAAAAAAGGAAGAACGAAAAAGGGGTGCGATAGGTAGTGAGGACAGTCCTATAGATTCTCCTCGACATTAGAGAGACGCCATCGCTATCCATACACAGAGAACAGAGTGGCAGGCAGTGTCAGAGTGCTGTGAGCAGTGCCGGGACCTAGGGAAGCTCTGCCGTGTTTGGTAGGCTTCGCCGGCTGTGGAGGAACCTGCCTTCTCGCTCGAGACAAGTGTTCTACTTTATAGCTACATCATCGGCCCAGGAAAGTTTTTAACATTATGGCCACCTTTCCTCACAAAATTGAAATTTTTAAAGGAGTTATTTATTTTTTCAGTGTATATGAGCATTTGACCTACATATGTGTGTATGTACATCACATGCATGCCTGGCGCCCATGGGAATCAGGAGAGGGATTTTTCTCTGATTTCTCCTCTTGGCTTGCTGTCTTCTGGTCTGCAGTGAGTCAGTTGTCAGTGAGTCCTCCACGTTCAGATATATGTGAGAACTTTTGCCTCCGTTACCCTAAGAGTTCCTAAGCATCTCAGTATGATATAGCCCTGTGTCACAGTGCGGAAATGCAATCATGATATTCTCAGGAACTCTGGAAAGGTCTCTCTGGTGAGGGACTGAACAGGGGACTGGAGCGGGGAGGAAGGCACAGAGCTGTGACATAATGACTAGGGAAACGTGACTCGCTCTGCGACAGAGGAAACGGGCGCTGAAGAGAACCCAGCCGAAGTAACAATATAAGAAGCCTGTTTTGCTCTGCGCGGTGGCCCACAGAAGTGTTTATTGCAGGTTGGTTCTTGTGAGCATGGTGGGGCTCATCTCCCCTCTCCCCACCCTTCCTTTAGTTGGCCCGGCATGTTAGGGACAAAAATCAAAGTTTTAAGGGGCATAAAAGGGAAGAAGAAGAAAGATCACCAGCACATTACATAGCAACCATCCCCACATCATTCTTGGACCAGCCCTGAACTGGGCAGCGGGCACCTTCTGCCCCTCCGTGGTGACTTGGCATTGCTTTCTGCCCGCCTCTGCCCTCCTCACCCTGCCTGCCCCACTCCCCAGCGGAGAGCATGATCTGCGCCCTTGCTTCTGACTCTAGCCTCTGGGACATATGTCAGTCAACGTGGGCAGTTCAGTCTGGGTTCGTTTCCTTTCTCTGTTCTCATCTGGCCCCCCAGGGTAATCACGTTGCTTTTTCTGGGACCTGCCCAGCTTTGAGACTCCTTTCCACCCCTTGGCACCAGCCTTGAGGGAGGGAGGGACAGGGCATATCGGGAGACCCAGCCAAGAGCTGAGGGTAAGGGCAGGTAGGCGTGAGGCTGTGGACTTTGTGGAATGTTTCGGTTTTTGTTTTTTTGTTTTGTTTTTTATTCTTGTTTTTGTTTTTAAACCGGGCAATATTGTGTTCAGTTCAAGCTGTGAAGAAAAATATATATCAATGTTTTCCAATAAAATACAGTGACTACCAAAAAAAAAAAAAAAAAAAAGAAGAAGAAGCCTGTTTTGTTTTTTTCGAGGCAGGGTTTTTTCTGTGTAGCTCTGGCTGTCCTGGAACCTGCTCTCTAGACCAGGCTGGCTTTGAACTCACAGAGATCCACCTGCCTCTGCCCTGAGTGCTGGGATTACAGGTGTGCGCCACCACTGACCAGCATAAGAAGTCTTTTGAATTGTGGCTTGCCTGGTGTTGGTGAGGCCCTGAGTCCAACCTCAGGTTCCACAGAAAAGGAAGAAAAGATCGGATATAGGGCAGATGCAAAGTGAGGAGGGCATAAGAGTGAACTCCCTGTCTGTGCACAAATAATAAAAACCCAGAGACAGATATTGGGGTTCAACCTGAAGATCAGAAAAGCAAAGGAACTAAGCCACGAGAGAGCAATTACCTCTATGAAATCTTCAGACTGAAAGAGAGCAAGTTCCTGTGTCATTCCAGTTTATATTCCTCTCTAGTGCTGGGGTTAAAGATGTGCACCACCACTGTCCAGCCTCTTTGGCTAACTAGTGTGGCTGCTGGGATTAAAGGTGTGGCCACCACTGCCTGGCCTGTATGACTGACTAGGGTGGCTGTTTTGCGTTCTAATCTTCAGGCAAGCTTTACTTATTAAAATACAAATGAAACATCACTACACCTGAGCCTTGAGCAAGCTTAGCTGCATGAAGAGAATATTTAACCATCTGTAGTAAACTGTGAGAGATTAGAGGCAAAGATACACTTAGAACAAGTAGTGATTACGATAAAGAAATGAGCCAAACTCTGTTATGCTCTGAGCTCATGACTTAGTAGGGAGGGAGTCAAGATTGTGTCGGCTTTAAAGAGCTTCAGGTAAGGAAAAGCTGAGGCTTGAACAGTGCGCTGTTGCAGCTGTGTGAGCGCTGCATCCATCTCCAGCGCCTTTTTATAAAGTCAGAGAAGGAAAGCCAATAACAACTGTAAGAATGTAAAACTGCCAGTAATGGAGAACTCAGCTGATGAGGCTCTTGCTCTGGTGCAAACAGGAGGCCCTGAGTTAGAAGAGTCTTAGCATCTAAATAAAAGCCAGTGTGTGTGTTCTCTATGCCTGGAAGGAGAGAAAGAGAATCCCAGGATTATTGGCTGGCCAGTCTAGGTGAACTGAGAAGTTCCAGGTCTGAGACTGTCTCCAGAAATAAGATGGAGGACCTGGAGCTATGGCTCCATGATTAAGAGGGCTGCTGCTCTTGGAGAGGACCTAGGTTCAGTTCCTAGAGCCCACCTGATGGATCACAAACATCTGTAACTCCAGTGCCAGGGGATTCAACACCCTCCTCTGACCTCTGCGTGTGCACAGTGCACAAAAGTCAAGGAGGCAAAACATGCACAAAAAATAAGTAAATAAATCTACTCAGCAGGAGCAGCCAGTGCTCTTAACCACTGGACCATCTCTCCAGCCTCCTAAATGTTTAATAAAAATTAGAATCTGATCTGGTGGTTAAAGTGCTTGCTTCACAAATGTGTTCAGTTCCCCAGAAGCCGTGTAAATGCCAGTTAGGTATGGAGATCCATTGCTAAGTCCAGACTTGGACGACACAGACAGGATCTCCTAGAGATCCTCAGCTTTCCTAATGCTGCCACCCTTTAATACAGTTCCTCGTGTTGTGGTCTCCCCTAACTATAAAGTTACTTTGTTGCTTCTTCATAGTTGTAATTTTGCTACTGTTATGAGTGATAATGTAAATATCTGGTATGCAGGATATCTTATGTGACCCCCCCTCCAAAGGGATTGCGACCCACATGTTGAAAAGCACTACCCTAGAGCACACTAGCTAGCTAGCTAGCAAGACTGCTCTGGGTTTGACTGAAAGGCCCAGCCTCAGTGAATAGATGGAGGATGATTCCTGCATCACTCTCAGACCTCCACGTGCCTCCCATGTGTACCCCCACACATGCAAAACATGTATCTACACACAAGTGCACATCATACACACAAACACACACACATGATAAGTGGGAACAAAAATTATAGTTTTATCCAAGTGGTTTTGGTAGTATTTAAACAGTATTGAGATTTTTTGTTCATTTTTGTTTTTATGAGACAGGTTCTTATACTATGTAACCCTGGCTGTCCTAGAACTAACTCACTATATAGATGAGGCTGGCTCACACAGATTCACCTCTCTCCTTCCCGATAGAAGGAAGATTGGGATTAAAGACGCTTGCCACTACACCCAGGTTTAAACAGTATTTGTAGTGAGCCACCCAGTGACCCGATCCATGCCTCAGTTCATGAACCAGTGCAGTAAATGTTTGCTTAGTTACCACTGCCTTTTCTTACACAAGTTCTTGTTTTCCTAGTATTCTCTTTTGCTCCCCAAATTATAAGACACTGATTTGAGTTTGATTGAACATGGCCTTCTTTAGCTTCTGTTTCTACTGCAGAGAGTATAAGACACTGATTTGAGTTTGGTTGAACATGGCCTTCTTTAGCTTCTGTCTCTACTGCAGAGTTTATTTCTTGAGAAAAAGGAAACAGCATGTGTCTGCTTTCTTGCAGATTTGAAAACTAAGGATGAGACCAATCAGTCCCTGTCAGAAAACGGCATTTATGAAGTGAATTTATCCCAGTGGAAGATAATGGAAAGAATGGGGAGCAGTGGCCTGAAGGGCCTTATTTTAAAAAGTGAATGGGAGTCCAGAAGAAAACATGAAAGCCAAGAGGGATCTCAGGAGGGCTATCTCAGACAAGTGAAAGAAGGATCTCAGGACGGCTATCTCAGACAAGTGAGAGTCACATGTGAAAAAATGGCCTCCTACCAGAAGCGTACGTCTGCTGCTCCACATCAGAGAATCCATTTTGTGGAGAAGCCCTATGCGTGTGAAGAATGTGGGAAGACCTTTAGAGTCCGCCAGCAGCTTACTTTCCACCGTAGAATCCACACTGGCGAGAAACCCTACACATGTCAGGAATGCGGGATGGCTTTTAGGCAGACGGCACACCTCACCAGACATCAGCGGCTTCATTCTGGTGAGAAGCTGTATGAGTGTAAGGAGTGTGGGGAAGCCTTCATATATGGCCCAGACCTTCGCGCTCATCAAAAACTCCATGCTGGTGAGAAGCCCTATGCGTGTAAAGAATGTGGGAAGGCCTTCAGGGTACGAGGACAGCTCACCCTCCATCAGAGGATCCACACTGGGGAGAAGCCCTATGTGTGTAAAGAGTGTGGCAAGGCCTTCAGGCAGTATGCACACCTTACTCGACACCAGAAGCTGAACATTGCTGACAGACTCTACGAGTGTAAAGAGTGTGGGAAAGACTTTCTGTGTGGCTCCGGCCTCAGAGTCCATCACAAACTTCACACTGGCGAGAAGCCCTATGAATGCAAGGACTGCGGGAAGGCCTTTAGAGTTCGACAGCAGCTAACACTGCATCAGAGAATCCACACTGGCGAGAAGCCCTATGAATGTAATGAATGTGGGAAGACCTTTAGTCGGGGTTACCATCTTATTCTCCATCACAGAATCCACACGGGCGAGAAGCCGTATGAGTGCAAGGAGTGCTGGAAGGCGTTTAGCCGCTACTCCCAGCTCATCTCGCATCAGAGTGTTCATGTCGGTGTGAAACCCTACGGCTGCAAAGAGTGTGGGAAAGCCTTCCGGCTGCTCTCGCAGCTCACACAGCACCAGAGCATCCACGCCGGCGAGAAGCCCTACGCCTGTGAGGAGTGTGGGAAGGCCTTTAGGTTGCGCCAGAAACTTACTCTGCACCAGAGCATCCACACCGGGGAGAAGCCCTTTGAATGTAAGGAGTGTAGGAAGGCCTTTCGCCTCAACTCTTCTCTTATCCAGCATCTGAGAATTCATTCCGGTGAGAAGCCCTACGAGTGTAAGGAGTGTAAGAAGGCCTTCAGACAGCACTCCCACCTCACCCACCATCTGAAGATTCATAATGCCAAGTGTAGCTAGCAAAGTCTGAGCAGTCTTCCTGACATCTCTCTTGCTCATACATGTAACACACCTGGCATACGAGGCTTTAGACCATTAAAGGAATGTGTTCACTTAATGTGTTGTATTGTATTCCAGTCTGTTCCCAACTGTAACTCTTCAACACACTTCTCCAGTTAGCCTACATATGAACAGATGTGGGGGAAATAACGCAGGTCTCTAGTCCATCACTCCAGTTATACTAAAACACTCAGGTCTCTAGTCCATCACTCCAGTTATACTAAAACACTCAGGTCTCTAGTCCGTCATTCCAGTTATACTAAAACACTCAGGTCTCTAGTCTATCATTCCAGTTATACTAAAACACTCAGGTCTCTAGTCCGTCACTCCAGTTATACTAAAACACTCAGGTCTCTAGTCCGTCACTCCAGTTATACTAAAACACTCAGGTCTCTAGTCCATCAGTTATACTAAAACACTCAGGTCTCTAGTCTATCATTCCAGTTATACTAAAACACTCAGGTCTCTAGTCCATCAGTTATACTAAAACACTCAGGTCTCTAGTCCATCACTCCAGTTATACTAAAACACTCAGGTCTCTAGTCCGTCATTCCAGTTATACTAAAACACTCAGGTCTCTAGTCCATCACTCCAGTTATACTAAAACACTCAGGTCTCTAGTCCATCATTCCAGTTATACTAAAACACTCAGGTCTCTAGTCCATCATTCCAGTTATACTAAAACACTCAGCTCCTGTGCTGCGGCTTTTTTCACTTGTGAAATGATATAAAACTGGCAAAATGATATGAAACTGGCAAAAATGGCTGCAAGCTCTTCAAAACTCCACCAAGTTGTGCAGTCCTCATCCTCCTGAAATATGGGCAGATGCCAGTTTGCCCAGGAAAACATAGTAGGAGCATGTCCGTACCACTGTCAGGGGCCATGCTTTATTACCAGGGTTGCTCCATCTCAGAATATTCTCTCAAGCCCTGAACTGTCATATTTGAAAATGTGGCTGAAGGGACCACAGACATGTAGCTCCTTTGCTGAAGCTGGGCTTCTGGATATGACCCTAAGATACTAGACGTCAGCTAGGAATAGTCGGGATCTTTCAGACCAGCCAACGCCCCAAGTCCACTAAGTGCCCTCAGTTGACACCATGCAGAACAGAAGAGTCAGCTGGCCACAGAATCATAAAATAATGCAGTGGTCATTATTTAGAGCCACTGAATTTATGATAGTGACTTAACTCTTGAGAATTCATATGAGAGACTACAGGTGTGATGAACACAGAAACACCTTCCACCATTTATCCCTCCTTGATCTTAGATATCTGATTCTTGTTAAGTGTTTGGTTTCGTTGTTTACTGTTGTTTACTGAGTTACTGTGTAACTCAGACTAGCTCAGACCTTGAACTCCAAGTCCTCCTGCCTCAGTCTCCTGATTGCTGGCATTAACAGGTGTGCATCATCCCTTCCAGTGTGTGTGTGTGTGTGTGTGTGTGTGTGTGTGTGTTTGGTGGTGGTGTGCCACTGAGGGTTGAACCCAGGGCCTCTCACTGAATAGCTCCATCGTCCACTCATTAGAATATTCAGAGTATGAACTTCTTTGCAATTTGATAATAATAAAACAGTATACATTCTGTAGTCTCAGTCAATATTTAATAAAGACAACATAAAAAGAAACTAATAATGTACAATGTAATTCCTATTTAAAAAAAACACTGTACTGTAGTATTTTTTAATGTACCAAGTGTTTTAGCTAGTGAGGCTCCTCTAATCCTGACTCCTGTGTCCTTTTATCTTGGCTGCCATGGTCATGTTGAAGAGCTTTTCCATCTGTCTTGCTTTTCTTCCTTTTATCCAATGAATTGATCACTTAGGGAACAAGCCACTTGCTTCTTTGGAGCTAAAAATGATTGGTTTTGGGATACATTTGTCTAAGTCAGAGTCTCCCAGGGAGACGGAACAGCTGCCAAAGCTCTTCGTTGAAGGGCTGAGCTTCGAAACAACCGACGAGAGTCTGCGTGGTAATGAGAGATCCAAACACCAAGCGATCCAGGAGCTTTGGGTTTGTTACACACGCCACTGTGGAGGAAGTGGATGCCGCTGTGAATGAAGACCGCATAGGAAGGAAGAGCTGTGGAACCTAAGAGCGCCGTGTCAAGAGAGGGTTCTCAGAGACCAGGTGCCCGCTTCACTGTGGAAAAGAATATCACCCGCGAGATTATTTTGAGCAGTATGGGAACACTGAAGTTACTGAAATCCTGACAGAGGCAGTGGAAAAAAGACGTTTTGCTTTTGTCACCTTTGGTGAGCATGACTCTGTGGACCATACTGTGAATGGGCACAAATCTGAAGTAAGAAAAGACCTATCAATGCAGGCTAGTGCTTCGTCCAGCCAAAGAGGTCGAAGAGGTTCTGGAAACTTTAGCGGTGGTTGTGGAGTCGGTTTTGGCAGCAGTGACATTTTGTTTGAGGGGAAAACTTCAGTGGTCGTGGTGACTTCGGTGGCAGTCATGGTGGTGGTGGATGTAACATCTGTACCACTACATGTATCACGGTCCTGTACCACCCGTACTATGCCTGTAGGTACCGCCTGCACTATAAACAGTTCCGATTCCGGAGCTGGGTTAGGGCCTGGAGATTGAAACACATACATAGAGACAGAGACCAGGTCATCCTTAAAACAAGAACACCAAGAACGCCAACTTTATTGTGTTCAAGGGCAGCTTATATAGTGTCTTCCCTGACCAATGGCCACGCCCTAGCTCTCACGTTCCTTCAGCTGCAAGCCACAATAAGCCACTCCCCTGCCTCAGGGTCTCCTGCTCAGAGCACAGGAAAACAAGCTGTTTACTCCAGCAGGAAAATAGAAAATTCAGGGTCTGATGGTCTGTGGTTCCCACCAGGTGGATATGGTGGCAGTGGGGATGGCTATAATAGATTTGGTAATGATGGACGCAGTTTTGGTGGTGGAACAATCGTTTGGCTACAACGATTTTGGCCATTACAACAATCAGTCTTCAAATTTTGGACCAAGGAAAGAAGGAAACTTTGGAGGCAGAAGCTCTGGCCCTTACGGTGGCAGAGGCCAGTACTTTGCTAAACCATGAAACCATAGTGGCTATGTGGTTCCAGCAGCAGCTATGGCAGTGCAGGAGGTTCTAATTACAGCCAGGAAACAAAGCTTTGCAGGAGAGGAGAGCCAGAGAAGTGCCAGGGAAGCTACAGGTCACAACAGATTTGTGAACTCAGCCAAGCCCAGTGGTGGCAGGGCCTGGCTGCTACAGAGAAGACATGTTTTAAACAATACTTGCATGGGCAAAAAAACTCCAGGACTGAATTTGTGGCTCTTGTATAACAGGTCATTTTAGTTTCTGTTCTGTGGAACGTGTAAAACATTCCAGCAGAGGGTTTTACTCTAGACCTTTCTTTACCCATGCTGTTGATTGCTAAATGGAATAGTCCGGTCATGATGCTGAATAAATGTGTCTTTAAAAAAAAAAGATTGGTTTTAGGGGTATGTTGTTCTTTTTTTAAAAAATGGCTGCCGGTCCCAGAGCGGTGGCGGCGGGCCATGTGGGGGCAGATAGCGGGCCCTGGGAGCAGCCAGTCCCAGGCAGAGACGGCTGCTGGTCCCCAAGCAATGGCTGGTTCCAGGCAGGGAGACACATGGCAGGCGGGCAGAAGACAGAAACATGGATAGACACGACATGCAGGGTGAGATTGAATGTTTATTCAAGGGGTTATGGAGGAGGAAGGGTGAAGGGGGGGGGACAGAGAGAGAGGGTGAGAGAGAGAGAGAGAGAGAGAGAGAGAAGAGGAGAAAAAGACAGAGAATGGGGGAAGAGAGAAGTGGGGAGAGAGGCAGAAGCGAAGCTGCCTCTCTGAGAGGAAGATGGAAAAGAGAATGAGCTCAGGCCGGAAGCTGAAGATCAGCCTGCCTCAGCGGATGGGGAGGGGAATGGGTGTGGCTTGTCTCTTAAAGGGACCAAAACCATAACATTCCCAGGTCTTCCTTATAATAAAAAGCACATACGTCAAGGAAGCAGAAAAGGAAGGGCCCAAGATGGTGGTGGGCAGGTCAGAGGTAATGAAAGTGGGCGTGGCTTGTCCCTTAAAGCGACAGGAAAGCACAACATTCCCAGGTCTTCCTTATAATAAAAAGCAGGAGACCAGGCACCACAGCCCAAAGGAACTGGGGCGGCGAACTCTCAAGACTGCTTCCGGCTGATTATGGGTGTCGTCTTTGGGGGGCACGAGAGAAGGCTGGGTGCTGGTCACATCCTGGCATAGCTGGTCTCTTTGCTTCTGACCGATGTCTGTGGCATGGGAATGTCTGGTGTCCGTAAGGTATTGGCAGAACAAAGAACAAAGTTAAATTAAGGGAAAAAAAATTTTAGGACCAGGGAATTGAGGGGTATGTATCTGACCTGTTTAAGGTGGATTCTTTAATTTGGCTCCCTGGAACTCATGAGAACTCCTTGGCTTTGTGAAAACAGAAGTTTTAGACATATAATGACTGTAGCATAAGAGATAAATTTGGTTTGAAATTTGTTTGGTGAGGTCACCTTGCAAAACCTCTCACCAGTTTAAAATATATGTATTATTATGTATAGAAAGAGTGAACAGGAATTGGGCAATGTGGACAACTCTGATGGGCCCTATCAGAGACATGCCATTGCTCAAAACACATTTAACAAAGTTAGCATGAGGAGTTTAATGAAAACCAAGTGAAGAGGCAGGGTAAAACCAGGAGAGTGTGGTCACGTGATCTGGCCCTCAGCCAAGATGGCGGAAAAAGTCACCTGACCCATCTGGCCCTCAGCCAAGATGGCGACCACCACGTGTAGTCTGCTCTGTTGGAGAGCCGCCATGACATAACAGAAGCTGCAGAGGGGAGGGGCAAAATGCTGGAACTGAAAAAACCGGCCATTTAAAAATTTTTTTAAGGTAGTTGGGGCCATTTTGGATAGAGACTGATAAGTGTGAGGCATTTAAAGCATGAGGCCAGAGTGATAGGTCTGGATGGCTTGGCTCCCATGGTCAAGGCCCTGAAAACACCCGCAAAAACCGTGGCACCTCAAGCCTACAACGAAAACGGCTCCCCGTTAAGGCAAGATGCAGATGGCACGAACACCCAGGCCCTGTGAACAGGCGTCCGAGCTCACAGGGGGGTGCTATAATCTGGCTGAATCGACTCCAGCCTCCGACAGGAAAGGGATTCCCGGGCAGAAGGGATTCAGCCAAGGTCAGGCCGCACTGTAGCGGTGTGCTGCACCGTAGCAGCAGTTACGATGAAAAGAAGGAAGAAAAGGAATGAAAAAAGAAAAAGAGGGAGAACTGGAGACCCCGGGCCTCCAGGTGCGGGTGAACTGAGGGGCTGGCTAAGGCCAGCCGTCTCAGGCACAGGCTTAGCACAGGAGACAAGCCGAATTGAATGCCAGCGAAGGGAACAACCGAGGCCCTGAAAGCCCGCGGTTGGAGGTCCCCCCATCCCTAAAAACCATGAAGGGTTGCCGGGAGCTCAACGGTCAATCCCTTGTGTTAAAAGAGATGGTTAAGCTAGCCGAGATGGGGACACTCACGATTAGTTGATTTGTTGTTTGGAGGAGCTGCGTCCAGGCAGATGGAACACGTGGGTCATTGTAGAGAAGGTCCTCAAGTCCTGATTCTGCCCCAGGAGGGAGCTCAGAGTCCCGGACTGCACCTACAGCCGGAACTCTGGCCCCAGGTGAAAGTCTGGGGTGGGCGAATCATCCGAGTCACGGCACCAAAATGTTGTTCTTTTTTTAAAAAATGGCTGCCGGTCCCAGAGCGGTGGCGGCGGGCCATGTGGGGGCAGATAGCGGGCCCTGGGAGCAGCCAGTCCCAGGCAGAGACGGCTGCTGGTCCCCGAGCAATGGCTGGTTCCAGGCAGGGAGACACATGGCAGGCGGGCAGAAGACAGAAACATGGATAGACACGACATGCAGGGTGAGGTTGAATGTTTATTCAGGGGGTTATGGAGGAGGAAGGGTGAAGGGGGGGGACAGAGAGAGGGAGAGAGAGAGAGAGAGAGAGAGAGAGAGAAGAGGAGAAAGAGACAGAGAAGGGGGAAGAGAGAAGTGGGGAGAGAGGCAGAAGCGAAGCTGCCTCTCTGAGAGGAAGATGGAAAAGAGAATGAGCTCAGGCCGGAAGCTGAAGATCAGCCTGCCTCAGCGGATGGGGAGGGGAATGGGTGTGGCTTGTCTCTTAAAGGGACCAAAATCATAACAGGGTAGGCATACAGTTCAGTGGTAAAGGACAGGCAAGTGTGTATAAAGCTGTGGGTCCCACCCAAACTCTGCACAACAACCCCACACAAACCAAAAAGCTGATTTTCAATCAGAAAAGTCACTTGCCCTTTCTATGTGCTCATCTAATTAAGCTTGTATTTTTCTCTTTCCATTGTGTGTGTATGGTGTGCATGTGTGTGTATGCATGTTTTGTATGTATGAGAGGATCTCTGCATGTGGAAGCCTGGATTTGATGCCAGGAATCATCCTCAGTGGTTCTCCACCTTATCCAGTGAGGCAAAGTGTCTCATTCAAAGCCAGGGCTCACTAGTGTGGCTGTTCTCATGAGCCAGCTTGCTGTAGGGATCCTCTGTCTGCCTTCCAAGGCTGGAACTACAGGCGGAACACCATGCCTGCTCAGCCTCTATGCAGGGTCTAGGGATCTGAACTCCAGGTCTCAAGCCCGTGGCAAGTACTTTAAGCCACTGAGCCGTCTCTGCAACCCTAAACCATTTACTGATCAATGTTGTACTTAATCAACATCTGAAAAATGCCTTGTTAAATTTCAGTATGTTTTTTGCTCTGCATAATTTTTCTAGAGGGTTTAACAAAAAGCAAGTTCCTTTTTTTGTTGTTCTTTGTTTTTTCTTTATTTTGAGACAGGGTTTCCGGGTGTATCTGGCTGTACTGGAATTTACCTTGTAGACCAGGGTGACCTTGAACTCACAGAGATCTTCTTGACTCTGCCTCCCAAGCACTGGGATTAAAGGTGTGTGTCATTACTGCCCAGCCAAGCAAGATAATCTTTATCAATTTATATTCTTTCTCAATCTCAGTAGCTACTGCCAGATATGAAACCTCAGGAGTGGACAGCTAGACCTTAGAGGGTGAGATCCCATACCCCCAGCTGGACAGAAAGATTAATAAGGAAGGGATGTCTGCCTGGCTAATTTGCAGGGACGTACTACAAAGGAGAAGATCATCTACATATTGTATAAGCTTGCATTTAGGAAGAGACAAAGAAAATAAGGGAGAGGCCAGAGCCTGGCCAAATAAATGTGGGCTGTCCCTGAACCCTTGGTGTGGGACTGTCCAAGTGAGCTGGGTAGAAATGTGAGTGTCCAGGTCAGGACAAGAGAAAGCAAGGCTATTTTGTGATCCTAGGGTGGTGTCATGGCCACCTCACATGAACCTTTTCTTGCACCCATTACAAAGCCATTTCGTAAGCTCAAGTGCTTATAATGTCCTCATTTTATTTATTTTTATTCATCTTGAATTTGCAGTCTTCCTGCCTCAGCCTCCTGAAGTTGGGATTTGTGCCATGAGGTCTGGCACAAATACAAAGATGTTAGAAAAAAAGCAGAATTTTTCTTCTAGTCGTTGTGAGGCCTTGACTTCATCTCCAGCAATATCAACCAATACAACAATACACTCACTGGCCGGAAGGGATGGCTAGGAGGAACAGTGGGAAGAAAGGAAAGGGAGAACACCGAGGAGCCTGAGCAACCTTTCCATGGGTAGACAGCACTGCGCCTCTTTTAGAGGATGTCTTTAAAAAGTAGCTTATTTTTTATTTTATATGCATTGGCATTTTGCCCGCACCTATGTCTGTGTGAGGGTGTCAGGTTTCCTAAAACTGAAATTACAGACAGTTGTGAGCTGCCGTGTGGGTGCTGAGAACTGGACCCAGGTCCTCTGGGAGAGAGGGTGCTGTTAACGCTGAGCCTTCTCTTCAACCCCTCGAGGATGTTTTTACTGAGTGCCCTGGTATATGCCTACACCCCCTCACTGGGATGTGTATTTTGAGTACCTACTCTGATTATCTCACATATTGAGCCTTTGATGATGGGAGTGCAAGTTCTTAACCCCAGTAGTTCAACAACACAAACCCCACCCATCCCGGAGATCCAGGCTTGCTCAGTGGGGTGGGGGTTAGGAGGATGTCCCAGCTCTTCCTGCAGGTCCTCGATCACACCCAGAGGCCTCCGCCCCTTCACGACCCCGACCACGCTTGCGCACTCCGCGGCTGGCGACCCAGTCTTTCCCACGTTGGACTACATTTCCCACCCGCCTCCGCGCGGCATCTTTCCGGCTGCCTAGCGCCCGGCAGTTGCGAGAGGTGAGTTGGTCGCCCGCACTGAGTAAATGGGAGAGGGGGCGGCGCGGATTTGGCTTTCCGTTAGTTTGAGAGACTTGGCGCCGGTGACGCTGAGTGGACACCGGGTGCCCCGCCGTGTCCTCCGTCCTCCCGCTGCAGGGCTCAGAGGCCCAGCATGGCTCCGAGTTACGTGTGCGAGTCCCAGGGTGAAGGCCCCCCCGAACAAAAAACGGCACAGCCGCAGTGGCAGAGCGGCTTTGTCCGCGCGCCCCTAAGGCTGCCCGGGGTGGCCGTCGCCTCTCAGGCTTGCCCCTCCGGTGGCGAGAAGTGTCTCTGTCCGCGGCTTTCCATTTCCAGCAGGCTGTGTGTGTGGAAGTGGTGGGAGTGACTGGTCTCGGGGGTGTGTCCCGAGGCCGCCTAACCCCGCATTCCCGTTTCGTGATTCGTCCTTTATCCAGATCTTGTTCCTCTTCTGGAAGGCGAGGGAGTCAAATGGATGGAGGAAACGTCGTTGCGTTACGTAGAAACCCAACATTCCTGTTATATATGTGGAAAAAAATTAGCCAAGTTACTTTCTCTTTCCTATGAATTGTAATTCTTATTTTTCCGAGCAGAGACATTTACTGCTCTTTACTGTGAAAGAGTAAAAATCAGCTTGGCCTGAAAAGAAGGGGCAGTTTGGTGTTAATTAGCCCAGGGAGAAGGGACGGATTCATGCAGTTAATAGAAACCATCACTCATAGGTTATGCCTCTGTTGTTAAATTCAGGCCCGTCCCTTCTTTGTGAGGTTGCAGGGTTCTTTTTAAATTTATACTTCTCCTATTTATGTGTATATTTATGTGAGTACAGGTGCCGGTGGCAGCCAGAAGAAGGTGTCCTGTTCCCAGGAACTGGAGTTACAGATGTTTGTGAGCCTCCATGTGTGTGCTGGGAATTGAACTTGGATCTTCTGCAAGAGCAGTCACTGCTCCTAACCGTTGAGCCATGTCTCCAGCCCCACAGGTTTCTTTTAAAATATATATATTTTTTTAATTTTCGTTTTCACGCGTTGGTGTTTTGCCTGCTTTTACGTCTGTGCAGGGAATTGTGTGACTGGTGTCTGAGGAGGGTGTTGGGGGTCCTCTGCGGAGCAGTCTGGGGGCTTGCCTGCGGATCCATCTCTGCGTTCCAGGATGCAGCTTTCCTACCCTTGAGGCTTGCTTTGCTAGTTTGTTTTTAATTATTGGGGAAGATTCATTTGCTAAACCACTCTTATTATCTATAAATAGCACTTTTGGTGTTTTTTTTTTTTTTTTTTTTAAACAGAGGCTCAGTTTGCATCCATACTGACCAGGAATTCACTATGTAACCCAAGCTGACCTTGAATTTGTGGGTGATCTTCCTGCCTCAGCCTCCAGGCTGCACTGCCAACCGTGCCACTATACCCAGCCACAGTAGCATTGATCTTCAGTTACTATGTGTCTCTTCTAATCCCATCTCAGCAGTGGCAGCCCTTCAAACTCCTGCATCACCAGTCCCCTTCAAAGCCTTTTGTCTGGGGGCTGGCTGTGCACCTCACTGTTAGAGAGCTATTCTAGCATACACCAAGTTGGGGCTATCAGCAGCACTTTGTGGGGGCAGGAGTGGCTCACACCCCCGTCTCACCCTCCCATTATAATTGCTCCAGTGCAGCTCCCGTCCTCAGTGTGTCAATCATGATTTTGTAACAGGCTACAGGCTTTTCTCGGTTCGTCTCCAGCTTTAACACCCGAAGTGACCTCTTAACCTGGTGCTTTGGCCTTCTGCCTCAGTGACTAACGGGGCAGGTTCTGCACCCTCCTCCCAGTGCTTACTCACACAAGGGATGAAAGAGTGTTAAGCGCCGCCTGACATTTCCCTCCGGAGCTGCGTTTTCCCAGCTGTGTTAGGATGTCTGCGAGTAAACCAGTTTGCTTGGTAACAGGGTCTTTTGCTTTCAGACCCCCGCTTCTGGTGCTGGGGTTCCAGTCCAAGGCCTTGTGTGTTGGAGGCAAGCACTCTAACCCCAAGTCATCTCCCAAGAGTCCTCCGCTTTTGAGTCTCATGAGGAGAGGAAAGATGAGAGGGATCGTCTTTTCTTTTCTTTTTATTTTTTTTCCTTCGGTTTTTCGAGACAGGGTTTCTCTGTAGCTTTGGAGCCTGTCCTGGAACTTGCTCTTGTAGACCAGGCTGGCCTCGAACTCACAGAGATCCGCCTGCCTCTGCCTCCCGAGTGCTGCACCACCACCTCCTGGCTGGGTCGTGTTTTCAGAGTGAGCTCATCGTAGTCCACTGATTCGTGTCTTAGGGAGGAATGTAGTAACAGTGGTGTGGGTTCTGCGGCTGAATTGCTAGGGTATGACACTGAAACCTGCTGCTTTGTCCTAGTTTGATTTATCCCTTCACGCTGTATGTAGTTCCCTCATGTGAAAGATGAGGCCTACTATATAGGGTAGCTCTGAGTAGATGGGTTAACTGAGGGCTGGGGATGGGGTATGCTGTTGGCCTACCGTATCTAAAGCCTTAGATGCCGTCCTCAGTGTGACAGCGACAGCTCCCCTCCCCGAAACAAAGAAGAAAAGCATTGTAAAACACGTAGGTAGTACTTGGCAGTGTAGTTAAGGGTTCGGTATGGTCCGCTATCTGTTACAATAATTCCGGCTTTCCTCCTCTCCTGTGTCCAGGAATCAGGAGTAGTGTGGCACATTTGCTTTATCCATGGACAAACAAGGACTGCCGGCCAGCTGCCCATGGTGGGACAGCTTTTCTTTGAGTTTATTTTATGTGTGCAAGTGTTTTGCCTGAATCACATTCATGACTGGTGCCTGAGGAAGTATGAAGAAGGTGTCAGATTTCCTGGGACTGGCGTTATAGATGTTGTGAGTGCTGTTATAGATGTGTGGGTGCTGGGAACTGAACCTGGGTCCTCTGCAAGAGCAAGTGCTCTTTTTATATTTATCAATGTGTGTGTGTGTTTCTTTGTGTTTATGATGCGGTATTTGACCTCAGTCAGAATCCTTTAGGGGTACCTGGGCTCCCCCACCATGCCCATCTCGTGTTGGGTTGCCTCAAGATCTTTCTGTAGAAATCTCTGGTCTGGGGTGGGCTTGGGGATGGGTACAGTAATGAGGAATGATTCAGAAGCAAGAATGGCGGTGGGAGAGGGGAAAGCTGCTCTTAGTAACTAACATTAATTAATTTGGGAACTTTTAGGCACATCTGGACTCATGAGTTCTTTTTATTCCAGTTTTGCTTCTCTGTATCCCACAGTTTTCCGTAGAGAAACAGCGAAGAGCCGACCAGCTCCTGCAGTTCTAACACTATGGCCCTAGCCCAGGTAGGTTAATGTTTTTCTCCTTTCCCCTCAGATGTACGAGTCTGCTGTCTGCCTCCCGAGTGCTGGGACTACAGTGTGCACAGCACATTGGGCATCAGTTTCTAGATGGTTGTGGACATGATGCTCTATGCCACACCCACCCCACTCTCATTGCAGAGGGTTGGAGACACAGCCCATTGCTGTTCACGCTTCCTCCCAGGCTCAGCCCCCCCATGCTCAGTCCCCCCCAGGCTCAGCCCCCCCACTGTTCCCTCTAGGGCCCCAGAGAGCTTGGGTAAAATGCCATGAGAAGAACCTTATGAGCTCTGCAGAGTTCCTCTAATGTTTTCCAGTGGGATCAAATATTTTTCAATGTTTTATCTTTGTGTGTTTGAGGGTACATGTGCACGTGGGGGGGGGGGGAGTCAGAGGACATCGACTTTCTCTTTTGAACTTTATGTGGGCTCCAGGGATCAAACTCAGCTTTACCTACTGAGTCATATTGCCAGTACTGATTTCTAGCTCTTAAATTCCAGAGGAAAATCTTGTCTTAGTATAGTGTTTAGTTATTTTGTTTTTTTTGAGACAGGGTTTCTCTGTGTAGCTCTGGCTTTCCTGGAATTCTGTAGACCAGGTTGACCTTGAACCCGAAGATCTACCTCTGCCTCCCAAGTGCTGGGATTAAAGGTGTGTGTAGCCCAGCTTGATGATTTTTTTTTTAATTTTGTTTCATACAGAAAAGATTTGTATTGCCAATATACAGTATGCCATTTTATTATTATTTTTAAAGCTGTGTTCATCTGTGCATCTGTGCATGTGTGCAGAGACCAGAGGCTGACTCTGGGTGTCTTCCTCAGTTTGATTTCCAACTATTTTTGAGACAGAGTATCCTGGACATGGAGTTCACCCACTCAGCTGGACTGGCTGGCCAGCAAGGCCCAGGAGTCTTTCTGTTTCCATTCCCTCCATGCACGTACAGGTGTGTAATTATCGGCACATGCCTGGCATTTTGCATGCCTGCTGGGAATCCCAAACGCAGGCCCTCACGCTTCTGTGGCAAGTTCTTCACTGACTAAGCAATCTCTCTAGTCCCCAAATGACACTTAACAACCTGTCCAGTGAAGTTTGTGTGCAAATTATACATGTGTAGCTGAATAAATTTTCAGAAATTGAGTTTCCTTTACTTCCACATCAAGAAACGGATGTACGAGCTCTTTAGCCGTCCCCTTAAGTCAGCTCCCATCCAGGCAGCCCAGATGAAGAGCAGTGCTCACTTCAAACACCCACATTAATTTTACCTAATTTGAATTTACTTTTTCTTTTTGTTCTTTATTTTTCTTCCTGTCTTCTTTCCCCCGATCCTTCCTCTTTTTTTCTTCTCCTCTGTTCTCTTTGACAGGGTCTTACTGTGTAATCCAAGCTGGCCTTGAGCTTGAAATTTTCCTGTGTCCATTTCAGAATATGCCAACTCTGCCCAGCTTTAATTTTTAGTTTTAAGCTTTAAGTGGAATGATGTACTTCAATACATTTTAAAAACATTTATTTATTTTTTAATTCATTTTACATTCTAACCAAGGTTCTCCCTCCTATCCCTCCTCCCACTCCCCCTTGCCTCCCTCCAGCCCACCCACCATGCACTCCTCCCAAAAGGTAAGGGCTCCCATGGGGAATTGACACTGTTTGACACATTAATTTGGGGCAAGACCAAACCCCTCCCCTCTGCATTAAGGCCAAGCATGGCATCCCTTCATAGGGAATGGGCTCTAACAAGCTAGCTCCTGCACCAGGGATAGATCCTGGTCCCACTGCCAGGGGCCCCTCAGGTAACCCAAGCTTCACCACTGTCTCCCGCATAGGGAGGTCCTAGTGGACCCATGGAGGCTCCACAGCTGTCTGGAGTTCATGAGTTTCCACGAGCTTGGTTCAGCTATCTCTGTAGATTTTTCCATCATGACCTTCATCTCCCTTTCTCATATAATCCCTCTTCCCTCTCTTCGACTGGACTCCCTGAGTTCAGCCTGGTGCTTGGTTGTGGATCTCTGTATCTGGATCCATGTATTACTGGAAGAAGGTTCTCGCTTCTCTGGAGCTGTGGATTGTAGTCTGGTTATTCTTTGCTTTATATCATCTATCTACTTATGAGTACATACCGTGTTTGTCTTTCTGGGTCTGGGTTACCTCACTCAGGATGGTCTTTTCTAGTTCCATACATTTCATGATGTCATTTTTTTTTTACCACTAAGTAATACTCCATTTTGAAAATGTACACATTTTGTTTATCCGTTCTTCAGTTGAGGGGCATCTAGGTTGTTTTCAGGTCCTAGTTATTACATAAATGCTGCTATGAACATTGTTGAGTTCATGTCCTTGTGGTATGATTGAGCATCCTTTAGATATATACCCAAGAGTAATATCACTGGTTGGGGTAGATTGATTTCTGATTTTCTGAGAAATGGTCATACTTATTTCCAGATGGTTGTACCAGCTTGCATTCCCACCAGCAATGCAGAAGTGTTCCCTTTTCCTCACAACCTCTCCAGCATAAGTTGTCATCAGTGTTTTTGATGTTGGCCATTCTACCAGGTGTAAGATGGTATCTCAGAGTTGTTTTCATTTGCGTTTCCCTGATGACTAAGGACGTTGAACATTTCCTTCAATGCCTTTTGGCAATTTGAGTTTCTTCTGTTGAAAAAATTCTGTTTAGCTCTCCATGCCTTTTTAAAATTGGATTATTTGGTATTTTGTGTTGGGGACCAGCCTCGACAAAAATACCACTTGCCAGGGTAGGGGCATGGGTATTTAGAAATATAAGTAAAGAATAGGGAATGCATTTAAAAATAATAAAACACAAACCATAGAATAGTACTGGGAAGGTAGTCCAGTGAATACTGAAAATCCCCAGTGTTTAGTTTTCCATACGCTTTTATACCCCAATACCACAAGGGGAAGAAGACAAAGGCTTGAACGTGAAACCACGGTGCCAGAACAGGTACTTGCTTCAGTACTTTAAGACATCGCGTCAGTAGCATCCTGTTACATTTATGGCTATTGTAAAAGGTGATGTTTCTCTGATTTTTTTTCTTGTCCCATTTGTCATTTGTGTATAGGAGAGCTACTGATTTTTTTTTTTTTTGAGTTACTCTTGTATCCTACCACATTACTGAAGGTGTTTATCAGTTGTAGGAGTTCCCAGGTGGAGTTTTTGGGCTCACTTATGTATACTATATGTATACTATCATATCATCCGTGAAAAATAATAGTTTGATTTCTTGTATGGTAAAAGGGACAACTGAAGTAGGTAAACCAACCAATCTGTTAAGTTTCTGTCTGGCAGGCCTGTTCAGTGATGAGAATGAGAATGGGTGTTGAAGTCTCCTACTATCCGTGTGTGGGAACTGATGTGTTATTTAAGCTTTAGTAATGTTTCTCTTACAGATGTGGGTGTTCTTGTATTTGGGGTGTAGATGTTCAGGATTGAGACTTCATTTTGATAAATTTTCCCTGTGATGAATATGAAATGGCATCCTTCAGCTCTTTTGAGTAATTTTAGTTTGCAGTCTGTTTTGTTAGATATTAGGATAGCTACACTAGCTTGTTACTTATGTCTATTTGATTGGAAAATCTTTTCCCAACCCTTTATTCTGAGGTGATACTTGTCTTTGAAGTTGATCTGTGTTTCTTGTATGCAGCAGAAGGATAGATTTTGTTTTTGTATCCAATTTGTTAGCCTGTGTCTTTTTATAGGTGACTTGAGTCTGTTGATGTTAATGGATAATAATGACCAATGATTGCTAGTTCCTCATATTTTTGTTTTCGTTGTTGGTGGTGGCACCGTGTGTGAGTTTCCCTTCTTTGGGAATTGCTGATGTGGGATTATCTATTTCCTGTGTTTTTGTGCATGTAGCTAACTTCCTTGGTTTTGAGTTTTCTTTCTAGTACTTCCTGTAAGGCTGAATTTGTGGATAGGTATTGTTTAAATCTGGTTTTGTCTTGGAATATATTGTTATCTCCATCTATGGTGATTGACAGTTTTGCTGGTATAGTAGTCTGGGCTGGCATATGTGGTTTCTTAATGTCTACATAACACCTGTCAAGGATCTTCTGACTTTCATTGTTTCCATTGAAAGGTTGAGTGTAATTCTGATAGGTTTGCCTTTATATGTTACTTGGCCTTTTTCCTTTGTAGCTCTTAATATTCTTAATTTATTCTGTATGTTAAGTGTTTTGATTATTATGTGGCAAGGGGACTTTTTTGGTTTGGTCTATTTGCTGTTCTGTAAGCTTCTTGAACTTTCATAGGCATGTCCTTCTTTAGGTTGAGAAAGTTTTCTTCTATGATTGTGTTGAATATGTTTTCTGTGCCTTTGAGCTGTACTTCTTCTCCTTCTATCCCTTTTATTCTTAGTTTGGTCTTTTCATGATATCCCAGAATTCCTGAATATTTTGTGTTAAGAATTTGTTGAATTTAACATTTTCTTTTATCGATAAATCTATTTCATCTATTGTATCTTCAATGCCTCAGATTCGGTCTCCCATCTCTTGTATTGTTGTTTATGCTTGTATTTGTAGTTCCTGATCATTTACCCAAATTTTCTATTTCCAGAATTCTCTTGATTGGTATTTTCTTTATTGCCTCTAGTTCAGTTTTTAAGTCTTTAACCATTTCCTTTACCTGTTTGATTGTTCCTTTTCTTTAAGGGATTTGTTGATTTCTTCCAATTTTTTGTTTGTGTTTTCCTCCATTTATTTAAGAAGATGTTCATTTCCTCTTTAAGGGCCTCAATCATTTCATGAAGTTATTTTTTTTTTTTTTATTTTTTGGTTTTTCGAGACAGGGTTTCTTTGTAGCTTTGGAGCCTGTCCTGAAACTAGATCTTGTAGACCAGGCTGGTTTCAAACTCACAAAGATCCGCCTGCCTCTGCCTCCCAAGTACTGGGATTAAAGGCGTGTGCCACCATCGCCTGGCCTCATGAAGTTATTTTTAAGGTAGTTTTCTTCGGCTTCATCTGTGTTGGGATGTTCAGGCCTTGCTGTTGTAGAACCATCAATCTCTGATGGTGCCATATTGCCCTTTATGTTGTTGAGTGTATCTTGTACTGTTGTCTACCCATCTGTTCCTCCAGTCGATATAGGTGGAACCTGTGCTTCAAGGGGTCCCTCTTCCTTCATTTGGTGCAGTTGGTGCATTTGGTGGCTGTATTACATTGGTCACTTTTCCAGATGTATATGGGGTCATGGCTCTGGTGGTCACTCCCTTGGTGCAGGTGGGTCTGTGGCCCTGGTGGGTGTTTATGCGGCGGTGTATCTTTTGCAGAGAATGGCACTGGATACAGACTGTGTCACAGGTGCTCTTTCCCAGAGGGACTTCTTAATATTGTTTCTGGAAGCCCCTTCCAGCCTGGAGCCCGGCTGCCACCACTCTCCCTGTCTCTGATATTTCTAGGCTGGGGTCAAGGCTGCCTCCGTGACCCCTCTCTCTCTGACACTTCTGGGCCTGGGTCTATAAAGTGAGTTCCAGGACAGGCTCCAAAGCTACACAAAGAAACCCTGTTTCTAAAAACAAAAAACAAGCAAACAAAAAAGAATGATAAGAACAGGAACACACACAGAAGGACCAAGACCCATCCCAGCACTGGGCATAGTGGGCGTCCCTGTAATCCTAACGCTTGGAAAGTTGCAGAGGCCAGCCTGAGTTCCATAGTGAGACCCTGCCTCAAAAAGAAAAGATGAATTTCTTCCAGAGAGAACCCCAAACAAAGCCCCTTGTGCGCTTTTATGGGATGCACTTGATTTGAGCAAGAAGTCTCAGCTTTGCTGCCGTTGACGTTTTGAGCCAGAAAACGTTTAATGGTATGGAATTACCTGTGCACTATAGCCTGTGTGACAGCTAATTCTGGCCTCTATCTTTAGGTCTCTGTAACTCTGGCACACCCCCTGTTGTGACAACCAAATTGTCTCCAGATATGGCCTTTTAGGGAACACAATTGCTCTTTGTTGAAAAATGCTGGTCCTGTGGGGCATGTTGAGAATACTCCTGTAATCTCACCCTTGGGAGGTGAGGCAGGAGCATCATTGTAATCATCCTGCCTACGTGGAGGATTAAGGCTGGCCTGAGCTCAACCCCTGGGACTCATGTGGTGGAAAGAGAATGATTCTCATAAGTTGTCCTCTGAGCAATACATGTAAAATAAATAACTACATAGATGTAGAAGGGAGGAAATAGCCTCCCTTCTTGTCTGGGGTGCTAGCTTCACAGTGTTTTCATGACTAGTGTCTTGTAACTCTGGGACAGAAAGACGTTTCCTGAGACTGTTGAGCAAAATGAGGAGGGTGCCTGTCATTCATAGTGTCAGATACTCTAAACAAGAGCTAGGTCAGCTTTTGGGATTGTGCCAGGGTCAAAGATCTAATTTGTTTTGTTTTGTTTCAGGGTCTTACTGTGTAGCCATGATTGGCTGGCTTTAGACTCACTATTTAGACCAGACTGACCTTGGAGTCATGGAAATCCACCCATTTCTGTCTTCCAAGTGCTGGAGTTAAAGGCATGCGCCACCATCATAGGCTCATATGTCTACACGTTAAAAAGAGATACTAGATCTAATGTAGTCAAGGCGAGGACAAGTATTTACCAAAAATTAAAACTGAAGAATTGACTGTAACAAAGAACAAATTTAAAATAGAATCTAACTTTGTAGAGAACTTGAATCAGTCTGTCTCAGATATTTTGTAGTGGATCTGGAATGAATTGTTTTCTTTTTGGAAGAAAATGTGGTCACTGTGTTTTTGTCAGTGAAGCTGAGTGTCGCTATTTCTGTAGAGCTCATAATGGGAGCACACAGTGCTGGTTCATCCATGGTGCTTGTTGTATTCATTTCCAGAATGAATGAAAAATCTAACCTTGGGCTGGCAAGATGGCTTAGGAGGCAGAGATGACGATCTGAGTTCAGTTCCGGGGTCCACGTGGTAGAAGGAACTGGCTCTTATGGGTTGTCCTCTGACCTCCACACATGTGCTATGGTATGCCCACTGCGCTCTCTCTCTCTCTCTCTCTCTCTCTCTAAATAAAAATGAAAGAAACATGTACTTTAAAACCCTAACGAGGACTATGTAGGAGCATGCCGTCACTGAGGCACTGACTTCTTGCTGTCTGTGTTTGTGTCGTGTTCAGCCCATGCTGTTTGAGTGCTGTGTGCTCCTCCTTCATCTCCACTCTCTCCTAAAGAAGAAAAGACTTTCCCATGCACTACCACGAGTTTGTTCTTTTCAGGGTTCAGTGACGTTCAGGGATGTGGCTGTGGATTTCTCTCGGGAGGAGTGGGAGTTCCTGGACTCTGCTCAGAAGAGCCTGTACAGGGACGTGATGTGGGAGAACTACAGCAACTTCCTCTCTCTGGGTGAGCGCTCTGCCCCGGAGGGTTAGCTTTCCCTTCGCTCTTACTTTCTGCTCGGTAGATTGGAAATAGGTTCTTCCATTTAACATGTAGCCATTCTTGGTCTGGGGCACCTTCTCATTTTCTCAGACTGATTCCTGGCTTCCTTCGTGTTTAGGTTTCCCAGGCAGCTGGATTTGGTATGGCAGAAGTATTTCTAAGAAAGCAGATTGTATACCACATGAGAGCCCAGAATCGCTGTAGACACTCCCTGCTCCTCTCTAGTTTCAAAGGCAATGCATGTGGGATGGCTATAAGCTTAAAACTCAGGGAACATGTTCTTTTCTGGGTAACAGCCTCTAACGGTCTACCTGCTTCACGTTTGAAAGTTAAAACCTGGGCTGGGACTGTAGCCTAGGGCATGGGAGGCCCTGGATTTAATCCCAGTACCACAAAAATACTTAAAATCTCAGCATTTTGTATCTACTGAAGGGTCTGACTGTTTCTTATCCTCTCAGCCCGGTGAGCACAGTGAGAATCATAGTTAAGGCATGTGTGTTCTGTGCACTTAGTGCCTAGGTGCTTTTCTGGGTGTTATGTGGCCCATCAAGCCTCACAACCACTCCTGAGAGATGCTGGCATCATCCTCTTCTGTGCTCAGGCACAAGAGGTTGGGGCCGTGGAGATGACACTTTGCACTTGTGCAAATGTGAGGACCCGATTCAAGTCTGCAGAACTCATGTAACAGTGCAGTAGTGCCTGTGTGTAGTCTTGCATTACTGTGGTGAGGGAAGAGGCAAAGACAGGAGGATTCCTGGAAACTGAGGCCTGCTTGATGAGCACAGAAATGAACAACAAAAGACCTCATTTCTGACAGTGGAGAGCTAGGAGTTCTAAGGTTCTCTGATTGTATGTGTGCTATGGCATGTGTATATCCACTCACACACAAATATGCACACACACACACTGGTTACTGAGGTGGTCTAGGAAACAGGTCAGATGTGAAGTAGCCTGTCCGTAGTTGTAGTCTTCACATGGTGTGGCCGCTCTGCAGAGCCAGGCTAAATTACATGAAGCATGTCCCTAGTCATCTGGTGTTTATTCTTTGTGATCTCAAGGCTTCCCTAAAATGGTTACTCTGGAGCTCCATAGTGTGGATTTAATGCTTTAGTTTATGAAGTGCCGTTTTGGAGACAGGCAAGGTGGTGATCCCAGTACTCAAGAGGCTGAATGCTGGGCTGGACTGTATACTGAGTGCCAGGCTGACTGGGCTTCAGAGTAAGACCCTGCCTCCAAACAGCACCATTTGACTTATAATTAATTTAAAATTCAGTGAAATCTGAGAGTAAAGATTTCAGGTTTATAATTCGATTTGACATTTTTCTATTAAGCAGGACCTTCCATTTCTAAGAGAGATGAAGACGGGAAGGAGCCTGAGGTAGCTGTGAAAGAAAGGAGAAGACATTGTCCCGGTGAGTGAGGGTGAGCTGGCGTGGGGGCTGTTGCTACAGCTAGTTGCTCAGCCAATGAGGTGGGGTCCTTGCTGAGAGATTTTTGAGGATTTCTCTTCCAAAGTCTTGGCTTCAAGCTTGAGACTTGAAGCTAATTCAAAAAAAAAAAAATATGTGTGGATGTGAAAGAGGGGTGGGAAAGAGATAGTCATGTATGCCACGGCATGTGTGGAGGTTAGAGGACCACCGCGTGGAGTTGGTTCTCGCCTTCATCTTCCCATGGGTCCTGGCATCCAGCTCAGGTTGGCAGGCTGGCGTGGCAGGCACTGTTCCCTGCTGAGCCTTTCTCTGGCCCAAATTCCCATTTTTAACCCTGAAGTAGCAAAATTGCCCTTTTTTTTGTTGTTGGTGGTGGTTTTTAAAGTCAGGCTTTCTCTGTGTGTAGTACTGGCTATCCTGGAACTTGCTCTGTAGACCAGGCTGGTAACAATAGTATCAAACATAAATTTTCACAAGAGTCACAAAAACCGGTTAATCTGACAAGGAGGTACCATATGTCTAGGAGTGTGGTTATAAAGTTCCCCTGTGGCTGGGAACACAGCATTGGTAGCTATACTGACCTGTGGGCTTGATTTGCATTATTAGCATGTCGGGGACCAGCCACAACAAAAATACCTCTCACCAGGGTAAAAGCATGGGATTAGAAATATAGTAAAGAATATGAAGACACAAATGAAAATAATAAAACGGAGAAATAAATAGGATAGTATCAGGAGGGGATTTTCATGAGTACTGAAAATTTGCCTGCATTTAATTTCCAACTGCTTAAAATACCCTTGACCCCAAAAGATAGGAGTAAGACAAAAAACTACATTAACATGATACAAGGAAATGAACATATCAATTGAAAGTCAAGGGCTACATTCATAGGACCAAAACATTCTGTAGGCAAACCACTCCCTGGGTGGAATCCCGTTATCTCCATAAAGGGAACTGGAACATAGTTGATCCTTAGACTTTTTATTTATTTGAGGTAGGAACAGATCTACTTCTCTATTCCTGGAGCACAAGGTCTGGCAGTTAGCCACACCTGTAGACAATCACCTTGTGAGAGCAGAACTCTCTGGTCAGCATCTAGGTGGGGCCTTCGTCTGAGGTAGAAGCACTGTATCCTTGAAGGAGCTAGAGCTAAGCCCAACTCTCTGACCTTAGGTCAGTGTGGAAATAGGCTCATAATTTTGGGCCTCCACATTAGCATCTAGCTGGTTGAGTTAAAAAGAAATCTCTTCTGGGGGATGCCCAGGTGAGAATTTTTCTCTCTGAAGCGAGTTTTAGTGATTAAGGCCTTTTTCCTGTATAAACAGTTAATTTCCTGGGCTATGATCCTGTGTTAGTTGACAGCAAGGTGAAGGGTAATTACAGAATATTAGTAGCCTGTTTCAGTCAGAGCAGAAGACCAGTAGATCACACTTCCTGAGTCTGCTGTTACCTCCTGTGTGAGGCTCCTTTCTTTTCAAGGAGTACAGTCCTGCCAATAAAGTGTGTGGGGGACTACTTTATGTAGATTCTGGCTGTGGGAACAAAGGCTTGACTGAGTGAATCCTTTTCACTTCAAGGATTCCTGGTGTGGGGGGAGGAATCCAGCTGCCCTACAGGGAAAGTCGGGTTTATGCACTGCGGGACACTGTAGAAGGGAGAAATGCCGTGATTTCACAGGATTTCTACGGAAAGGCCAGGTGTCCCCGTAGCTCTGCAGGAACAGGTTAGTCCAGGTGAATGTGTACGCACTTCCTGTGGATAGTCCGGTAGATCTGTCAGCTGTACATTACTGCATAATTCTTGTGGGCTCACCACAATATGGAGGTGCATGCCTGACATCTTAGCATTCAGGGTGGAGGCTCGGCCCCTCACTAAGACAGGCTACATTTCATCCACCCTAATGGTAGCTTGCCTATCTGAAAGCTTCTTTTTGCGTGTGTGTTGGGGAGAGGATGTTTCTGTGTGAGGCTGTGCAAGTGTTTGGTGGCTCGTTCACATGTGTGTGTGCGTGTGCAGGTATATGTGGAGTACCTTCCTCAATGGCTTCTTCACTTTATTTTTTTGAAGCACAGCCTTGAACTGAACCTGGAACTCACTGATTGGCTAGACTGACTGGCTAGCAAACCCCCAGGGTTCCTCCATCTCTGCCTGTGTGGTGCTGGGATTAAGGATGCACTCCTACCCCAGGCTTTTTCTGTGGGTGCTGGGGATAGAAGCTCAGGTCTGCCTGCTTCAGAACAAGCACTTTACTAACTGAGTCATTGCCTCAGCTCCTCCTTCCTCGCTTCTTCTGAGTCAGGATCTCACTGTATAGCCCTGGCTGGCCCAGAACTCACAGAGATCCACCTCCTTCTGTCTTCTGAGTACTGGAATTGAATGCACCACCATACCTGTCGGTGATCCCTCTTTCCCTCCCTCCCTCTCTCCCCCCTTCCTTCATCTTGGAGACAAGGACTCTTACATATCCCGGACTAGACTTGAACTCGCTATGCATCACTATGTAACTTCTGGTCCTCTTCTTCCATCTCCTGAGTGCTGGAATTACAGTCAAGCGCCACCACACCCAGTTTGGTCTTTAACTTTTTTCTTATTTTTGAGATGGGATCCTATGCCACTCAGGTTGGCTTCTAACTCAGGGTCAAGTTCTCCCCCAGAATCCTTCTCCCTTATCCTCTCTGAAAGTTGGGAATATAAGCATACATTACTTCTCTAGTTGAGTTTTCTTTTTTAGTTTTAGAGATTATCTTACTTTGTAGCTTAAGCTGTTCTGAGACTTGGTGTAGCCCAGGCTGACCTTAAATTTGCAGCGTCCAGCATTCGCCGCCTGAGTGCTGGGATTGTGGATGTGAGCCTACTTGGCTTTATTTCCACATGTGCTGTCTTGGCACCCAAAACAGGACTTCTGCTTAATTTTTATGCATTTTAATATTCATGAAGTGACTTTGGCCACACTAAGCACCTTTACCCTTGAGATAGCAACTGTAGTGTTGTTAGTGTTTTACTAATAAAATTGTACCCAGTTGCATGTTAATGTGTGCTGTTTTTTCCATGGATTTTTGGTGCAGGATTTTGTATAGGATATGGGTTTTGGGGTGCACCTGGGTAGTATTTTTTCAGAAATACCTGTTTACAGGAAGGGTAGTAGGCATGACTTTAGGTCCTTTAATTTGTCGGTAGAAGTTTTCCTCCTCTTGGAACAGGGATGCAGCGTACTTCTTTCTTGTTTTTTTTTTTTCAGATTTGGTGTCCAGATTCAAGACCAAGACTTCATCTTCAGACAAGGATATCTATGGAATATATTCATTACAGTGGGAGTTGATGGAGAAAATTAAAAGCTACAGCCTTCAAAGTTCTGATTCTAGAGATGATTGGGAATATGAAAGCAGGGCTGAGCGACAAAAGGAACCACAGGAAGGTTATCTGGGGCAGGTGAAAATGACCTCTGAGAAAGGCACGCACAGAAAGCACCATTTCCTTACCGAGTACCAGCAGGTTCAGAGTGGAGAAAAGTTCTATGAATGTAAAGAGTGCAGGAAGACCTTTATCCGCCGCTCAACGCTTAGTCAGCACTTGAGAATCCACACTGGTGAGAAACCGTACAAATGCAAGGAATGTGGGCAGCCCTTCAGACAGCGTGCACACCTTATCCGACACCACAAACTGCACACCGGTGAGAAGCCCCATGAGTGTAAGGAGTGTGGGAAGGCCTTCACAGTGCTCCAAGAACTCACTCAGCATCAGCGGCTCCATACCGGGGAGAAACCGTATGAGTGCAGGGAGTGTGGAAAGGCCTTCCGGGTGCATCAGCAGCTGGCGCGGCATCAGAGGATTCACACTGGGGAGAAGCCCTACGAGTGCAAGGACTGTGGCAAGACCTTCAGACAGTGCACACACCTCACCCGGCACCAGCGACTGCACACTTCCGAGAAGCTGTATGACTGTAAAGAGTGTGGGAAAGCCTTCGTGTGCGGCCCAGACCTTCGAGTCCATCAGAAGATCCACTTTGGCGAGAAGCCCTATGCCTGTAGGGACTGTGGCAAGTCCTTCAGGATATGCCAACAGCTAACTGTCCATCAGAGCATCCACACTGGGGAGAAACCCTATGAATGTAAGGAATGCGGGAAGGCCTTCAGGTTGAGGCAACAGCTTGTTCGCCATCAGAGAATCCACACCCGTGAGAAGCCCTACGAATGTCTAGAGTGTTGGAAGACCTTCAGTAGTTATTCCCAGCTGATCTCACACCAGAGCATTCATGTGGGCGAGAGACCCTACGAGTGCCAAGAGTGTGGGAAGGCCTTCCGACTGTACTCGCAGCTCACTCAGCACCAGAGCATCCACACGGGCGAGAAGCCCTACGAGTGTAAGGAGTGTCAGAAGCCTTTCCGGCTGCTCTCCCAGCTCACTCAGCACCAGAGCATCCACACGGGCGAGAAGCCCCACGAGTGCAAGGACTGTGGGAAGGCTTTCCGGCTCTACTCATTTCTCTCTCAACACCAGCGGATCCACACCGGAGAGAAGCCCTACAAATGTAAGGAGTGTAAGAAGGCCTTCAGACAGCACTCGCACCTCACCCAGCATCAGAAGATCCACAGTGGAACTTAAAACCTCAGTTCTGTGTTAGGTTGCAAAATATCAGGAAACCCATTTTTGAGAATAATTTGTTTCATGCTTATAAGTAAGCATAAGAAAGACGATGTTGCTTTAAAAACCCTCCATTCTCACTTACATGTTACCTATCTTCAGGAAATTCCTATGAAAGAATAATTTGATGAATGTAGGAAAATCTTTAGCCTTATCTGTCACCATCTCCTTCTAGCTACACTCTTCCCACTGTGATTCTGGACAGGACACTAAATATCAATGCCTTGTTTCTCACACTGTTGGAATGGCGATGATAGTACCTATATGTGTTATTTATTGTTATGTAACAAATTACTAGAAAACAGTAGTTTAAATAATATACATTTAGTATCTAAAGATTTCTATAGTTCAAGAGTCCAGGAAAGCCTTAGTTGGGTCCTTGAAGTTGCAACTGAGGCTGGCTTTCATCTGAAGGCTTAACTAGAGAAGTACCCACATCGAAGGTAACAGGTTAGACACCTGAGGCACCTGAATTCTTTGAGAGCGGATATATTGAAATCCTCAGTTTCTGGATGGCCATTGGCTGAGAGATGAGTGAAATTCCTGGCCACATTGACCATCCCAGTGTGGCTGTTGGTTTTTTTTTTTTTAAATTTTAGGTGGGGTTTCTTTGTATATCCCTGACTGTCCTGGAAGTCACTCTGTAGACCAGGCTGGCCTTGAACTCACAGAAATTCACCTGCTTCTGCCTCCAAGTGCTGGGATAAAAGGCATAGCTGCTGTTTTAATGAGATCATGGAATCCAAGAAAGGTGGTTGCTAGCAGGATGGAAGTCAGCTAGCAAGACTGAAGTTATAATCTGTGTAACCTAGTCATAACCTAGTCATAAACATCCCACCATTTTACCACCTTCTGCTGGTTAAAAATAAGTTCTCACACTCAAGATTGCATGAAGCTGAAGATTACAAGATAGGGACCAGTGATGGAAGTTTAGAGCCGTACTGCATAGAAGAATTGATAAGAATGAAGTAGCTAAGCCGGGCGTTGGTGGCGCACGCCTTTAATCCCAGCACTCGGGAGGCAGAGGCAGGCGGATCTCTGTGAGTTCGAGACCAGCCTGGTCTACAGAGCTAGTTCCAGGACAGGCTCCAAAGCCGCAGAGAAACCCTGTCTCAAAAAACCAAAAAAAAAAAAAACAAAAAAAAAAGAATGAAGTAGCTAAGCCTTGACAGAGCAGTCATGGTAGCATGCATCCCTTAAGTGATGTCCATGATTGTTGCAGAATTGTCAGTTCGTATAAAAGGAAGATGATCCTATGGAAGTAATACATGTAAAAATGCTTCTTTTTACATCTCTGCATTTACAAACTTCAGAGTATAACCTCTTCGAGGTAAGATCTAGGAGGTTATAGTAATTGGGAGATTTTTGTCACTTCATGACTGAATTTCATGAATGTATGTTGTTAAAACTTAACCGTTAAAGAATAGAGAGAGTGACATCTTCAAATTAAACAAAAAAGCAGATCATTTCGAATCCCCTCTCTGACAAGATTCGGGATGAGCCACACAATCTCAAGGATAGCATTAAAGACAGCTAGCCACCTGGGGATTTGGCTTTTATGTGTACACACATGTAAAGGCTGGGGCTGGGGAAGGGCTTGGTAGTTGAAGTGCATGCTGTGTGAGCATGAAGACCCAAGTTTGGATCCCAGAACCCATGTTAAATGCCAGGTAGATGGAGTGGCTCACCTGTGGTTCCGGCCTCTGGAGATAGAACCTGGATGTCCTAAGCAAGTTGGCTAGTAAGACCATATTGGGCTTATCGCTGAGCTCTGGGTTGGATTGAGAGACCCTACCCCAGTGCTTACAGTGGAAGAGTGGTCAAAGATGGCTCCTCAGATAACCTAGGACCTCCACATGCACCTGTGTGCATGTTCACTACACACGAGCCCACACACATGCAAATGCATACCGCATTCACACAATAGTAAAAAGATTTGCAATCAGTATACCTTTTGTTACTCACACGAGCCCACACACATGCAAATGCATACTGCATTCACACAATAGTAAAAAGATTTACAATCTGTAACCTTTTGTTACTCAGGTCACTGCATTTTCAACCTGTGTTTCACGCTGGGCCTCTTAACATGACCCTGCTAGGACTTTGGTCATTATCGTGTTGATGACTGCACAATCCAGTCAGCAGTAGATGATGGCAGGACACCAACTCGTCGTGTTAGTTAGAAATGTATTTATTTATTGAGACAGAGTCTTACCATGTAGACCAGGCTGGCCCAGAACTCACAGAGATCTGTCTGCCTCTGCCCCCAAGTGCTGGGATGAAAGCATTGGCCGCCATGCCTGGCTAACATCTTACATTAGCAGAGGAAAGCAACATGAACATTGATTTTTCTTTTCCATGTGAACCACTTTTCGGTGTCAACAAGTGTTCATCAAATTCAGGTTTTTTTTTTTTCCCTAAGCAGATTTCACCAGTAAATGCAGAAAAACAGAGATAGAAGGTGGGGGGGGGGGGAGTTGTCACTATTTTCCAGACTCTAGGGGAATAGTGGGTTCAGAAAACAAACTTCAGTGAATACTGGATTTTTGTTGTTGTTGTTGTTGTTGCTTTTGTTTATTTTTTTGAGACAGGTTTTTCAATGTAGCCTTGACTATCTTGGAGCTGCTCCGTAGACCAAGCTGGCCTTGAACTCACAGAGATCTACCTGCTTCTGCCTCCCAAGGGCTGGGGCTAAAGGCCTACGCCATCACTAGAATTTTTATGTGAAAGATTGTGTGACCACTTCTGATCCCTTCATTGACTTTGACCTCAATAAAACTGTGACTCTCAGACATTAGCCACCTCCTGATAGGGTGCAGCAGGCCTGCCAAGGTGACCCAGCAGCTCACTTGCTGTAGGAGCCCATTCCTACAGTCAGCTAAGGTACCTGGAATGGGGATCTTTAAGGCCAAAGGGTGTCAGATGAAAGAAACTGAGACATAAGATACAGGATAGAATCAGGAGGTCTGTTTGGCGGTTGGTCAAACAAGCAGCCCAACAGCCGAGAATTTATTTTAAAATTTGCTTATATGCAAAGGCAGAACTAAGCACAGCACAGTCAGTATCCAACCACAAGACCATTCCTGCCCTTGAGTGAGCAGCCTCCTACCTAACCTGCACTTGCTGCTCAGAAGCAGCCTCACTTTCTACCTTGATGTTCCTGAGGCTTGTGGTCAGCAGCGTTCTTCCTACTAGATAGTGTTCTTTTTTTTTTTTAATTTTTTTTTTTTATTGCGAAAAGAAGAAAAAAAACATAACCAAAAAACGGGCAAAGTGCTCTTCTCCTTGGGCCAAATCAGAAGTCTCTCAGAGTCCTCAAGGTTATTGGAAAAATAAGAGCAGACAAGCTTGAACTTAAATGACTTATAAATCAGAATGAACTCCAGATGGAAACTGAGTCACACATGGGCTCTCTCAACTTTTCAAATTCTTTAAAATCAAGAGCTCCAGGAATGGATGGACAGAGCAGATTCAGCACAAGGAAGCATCCATTTTGACCAAAGTTGATAAAATTCTCAGAATAACTCACCGGAATTCTACAGCTTTGTGTGGCATGAAGAAGAAAAGGGGAGGCCCCATAAAAACAAAACTGAGTTAAGTATGGGGCGTCACTTTGAAATAGTTTGAAGAAAAAGTGTAAGCGCAATGCTGGGAACAGGAGGAAGTGGCAGGTGGGTTCTGACTGTTAGAGATGCATTCTTAACAAGATAGACCAATGTGCATCACTGGAGAGCTGGGCGTGATGGTGCACATGTGGTCCAGACGCTGGGCTCGGGACTAGTGCAGCAGGATTGCTAGTTCAAGGATAATCTGGGCCACATAGCAGGGCTAGGTCCAAAATGAAATGGACAAAAATCTGGCAAAAGGAAGGGGGTTGACAAAATCAGGCCTAGTGCTGCACAACTTTAACCCCATACTTAACTCAGGGTGGAGTCAGGAGCCCGGTGTGCCTTGACTCTAGGCGGCCACCAGGAGCAGAGCTCCAGCAGATGGCCAGGGCACTGGGTGTAGGTCAAGAGACTGTGCCATGACTGGGCATTTGCCCCCTCCTCCAGGAGTACGCTGTATCCACTTCTCTCCTTGGAGAGTGGGGTATATGGAGACACGGCAGCCATGGATACTGGCCTGGAGCCTGTCAGACCTGGGGAGTCTCCACAGAGGCTTTCTTGCTCGGCTGAGACCCAGCAGTTGGAGCTGGGAGGTGCCCAGTAGCCCAGTGTGCTCAATGTGCTCTTTTGAGGAAACCACTGGCAGAAGTGATGGGTATTTTCATGCTCTAGTGGGCCTTGCAAACTTAAAAACAGACGGCTTTTTGTTGCATTGAATCCCAAGACCAGTTGGATGGTGGTGGGCCCTGGGAGACCCTGCCTGTTATCCGTAAGAAGATCTCACTGTACTATGTTAGGCTTATTACGTGTCCTAGTCAGGGTTTCTGTCGCTGAGCCGAAACACCAAGACCAACACCAGGTGGGGAAGGAAAATGTTTATTTGGCTTACGTTTCCATATTTCTTTTCGTCATTGAAGGAACTCAAGCAGGGCAGGAACACGGACACAGGAGCTGATGCAGAAGTCGTGGAGGGGTGCTGCCTACTGGCTTTCTTCCCATGACTTGCTCAGCCTGCTTTCTTAGAGAATACAGGACTACCAGCCCGGGGATGGCACCACCCACCATGGGCTGGACCATCCCATCAATCACTAATTAAGAAAATACTCCACAAGTTTGCCAGGAGCCAAATCATACAGAGGCACTTTCTCAGCTGAGGCTCCTTCCCCTCAGATGATTCTAACTTGTGTCAAATTGACATAAAACTAACCAGAACATTGAGCATCTAGACAGCGGAGTCAGGCTAGGCTGCCTGTGGTACCATTTTGAAAAAGCATCTGACTGCTAATTGTTTGAGGACGGGAAGCCCATTTGTTCAGGGTTCAGGGGCCAGCACAGTTGCTCACTCTCGGGGGCAGTATGGTCAAGTAGGACACCCACAATACCGGAGAAGCTTAGTGGGAAAATCCTTCCAACAGCGCGTGCCTGTGAATGCATGCAGCTACAGGTACCTGGGTAGGAGGTAGGAATCTCAGGGAACTGGTATAGATTCCCTGGTCCAGTGTTCCATGTGACAGCTCACAGCCCATTCGTCCCCAGATGTCTTTAATAAGATCTATGCCTGCCCTCAGGTACTCCTGGAGGCTGCTTTCTGGGATCACGTAGAGTCTGGACACAGCAGAGCTAACATAGAAGATGACTCAGGCCACCAGCATATCTATGACATATTTTAATACTTTACGTGCTATCTAGAGTCATAGGCTTCTTGAATTGTGGCCATGGTGGATGGATGTTGTGATGGGGCAGAGCTCAAGAGATTGTTCAACAGTTAAGAGCATTTATTGCTCCTACAGAGGACCAGAATTCTGTTCCCAACACCCATGTCAGATTGTTCACGACTGCCTGTAACTCCAGCTCAAGGGATCTGATTGCCCTTCCCAGCCTTCACAGATACCTGCACTTATGTGCAAATCCCCATGCAGACACATAATTAAAAAGAAAGGACTTGGGAAGCAGAGGCAGGTGGATCTCTACGAGTTCAAGGGTAGCCTGGTCTATAGAATGAGTTCCAGGACAGCCAGGGCTACCCAGAGAAACCCTGTCTCAAAACAACTGAAAAATAAAGCTTGCCAGGTGTGGTACCACGTGCCTCTAATCCCAGTACACAAGAGGCAAAAGTAGGTGGGTCTCTGAGTTCCAAACCAGCAAAGGAGACTTAGACCCTGTCTCAAAAAAAAAAAAAAAACCCACAAATAAATTAAAAAGTAAATATTTTTAAAAATCTACTTGCTCTTGTGATATTGGTAGGTATGCTATGTAGGGCCTGTGACTGTCAGTAGGGATGTCATTGTGGCCTCACCTGTGTGCACACTGCCACAGGCCTCCTGCAAGCATTTCCACGCAGGGACCAACAGGTCAGTCTACCATCAAAGGTTTCTCAGCTCTGCTAGGCATGGGAAACCCAGAGAAGTAACTGTGACAGGGTGCTTGTTTTACAAGCACAGACTCTAGAACTGGCTGGAAGACAAC